CATACATAAAGAACTTCTAACTGAAAATTTTCTCCCACACCTGGTAATGCACTTATCTATGTTGCCCCTAACCACATACTTACAAGCAAATATTAATAGTCCGATTCTTCTAATAAATCGAAAGAAGCTTTACATATGAGGTAAGATTTCAGTAATTTGAATATTGGGTAAGACCTGACAGTTAAGTAGATATGACAATGTCCTATCTTCTGCCAACGGCAAAGCTTGGCTTCAACAGTATAGAATGACTGGAACTTTGAGCTGCTGTTTGGAACAAAGAAAATGCAAAACATTAAGAGCCTTGATAAAGTGAAAAAAAAAACAAAAAACACTACAAGATCGACAAGCTAGAGAATTTGACATCTCATATGCAGCTCGACTACTATATGCAATGCCTGATCCTGGATTGGATACTGGACCAGACAAAAGACATTAGCAGGACAACTGATGAAATTTGAATAAAGCCTGTAGATCACTTAAAAGTATAAAATTAATGTTATTTTTCTGGTTTTAGTAATTGTTAACATTTGAAGAAGACGAGCAAGGGCAAAAAGGAACTCTTTTTACTAGTTTTATAATTTTTGTAAACCTGAGTTATTTCAAAAAGGTTAAATTTATTTTTATTTTAACTATTATGTAAATAAGTATCAAGTACTATATGTAATAAATGTAATATTTAATAAATGTCAAGAATGTATAAAGTACCAATCGATATCAATTATTAAATATTTTGAAGAGAAAAGAAAATTGAAACTAGTATTATAGTCCTGGGGCAAAACTAGATCTAAGAACTTGGGATTTGTTCAATACTTTAAGGAAAACAAAACAACAACAACAACAAAAAGTGAAGAAATTAAATCATAGAAATTAAAATACATTTCAACAGCACTGCATAAGAAGGCTAGCTATCCTGTGTCTAGAAATGCTTTTAAAATGTCTGCTAAAATGAACAAGATGAATTGTTCATCACAATAAATTAAATTTATAAAATTATCATGTAAATTAAAACTGTGATTTTAAAACAATTACCTCTAAAAACATCTGCTTTTATAAAAGATAATGAAACTATTTATGACAGATATACTCCATACCAGAAAACAGACATTAATATCCCTTCAAAAACTGCTGTAGCATAGGATTTATTACAGTCTCCCTAGAAAGATATTTAAATTTCCCCAGAAACGTGCAATTACTGATACCAAGGCAACTCCAAATTATTAAGTTGTGGTCAAAATTTAGCTTGAACTAGCATGATAAAATTTTAAGAGTGTACAGAAACAGGTATATGCCTCATACAGTGTTGCTGGGAGTATAAAGTGGTGAAATGTCTTCAGACAGCAATTAATTAAGATCTATCAAAATGTTATGTGTACCCCCTGATCTAGCAATTCTACATTAGAAGTACTCAGCACTGGGACGCCTGGGTGACTCAGCTGGTTGAGGTCAGACTTCTGCTCAGGTCATGATCTCATAGTTTGTGAGTTCAAGCCCCCTGCCAGGCTCTATGCTGACAGCTCAGAATCTGGAGCCTGCTTCAGATTCTGTGTCTCCTTCTCTCTCTTCCCTTCCCCCACTCACAGTCAGTCTTCTCCCTCAAAAAATAAACATTAAAAAAATTATTTTAAATTAAAAAAAAAAGAAGTACTCAGTACATATGCATAGGATTTATTCACTGCATCATTGTAAATAAGACCTGAACAATATAAATACCCATCAATAAAGCACATTAAATAAATCATTACATCCAGTTAACTGGAATACTACGCAGTTATGAAAGAATAAGGTAGACCTATACGTGCTAACATGAGACACTTCCTGTTATGTACTACTAAGTGAAAGAAACAAAAGTGCAGAAGAGAATATAGTGTATTACCACTTGTGCTTTTAAAAGGTAGTAGATTTACAGTATATTAATAAATACGCTTGCAATAAACAGAATATTATGTAAGAATACACAAGAAGCTGGTAACAGTGGCTATCCCTTTTGTACTGCTGAATCTTTTCATTGGGGCATACATATTCATCCTTCTCAATATTTAAAAAGCCATCAAAGAAACACAATTTTATGAATTATCTGTTCAAAAAAATTAGTTGGCTTGTGTTAGTTTCCTTTTTGTTGCTGCTAATAACAAATATGAACCCATTTCAGATGTTAAGCACTGTCAAACTCAATCATTAAGGCTTAGAAGTAGCTTATTTATGAATTAACTCAAAATATATTAAAGACTTTAACATTAAGTCCTGACACCATAAAACTCCTAGAAGAACACATAGGAAGTAAGCTCTTTATCAATGATTTTGTTGGACTTGATGCCAAAAACAAAAGCAGCAAAAGCAAAAATGAAAAAATGGGATACATCAAACTAAAAGGCTGCTACACAGCAAAGGAAACCATCAACAAAATGAAAGAGCAACTTACTGAATGGGAGAAAATACTTGCGAGTAATACATATAAGGGATTAATGTCTAAAATACATAAAGAACCTATACAACGTTAACAGCGGGGGAAAAAAAATAATCTGATTTAAAAATGAAGAGGGTGCCTGGGTGGGTTAGTGGGTTAAGCATCTTAACTTCAGCTCAGGTCATGATCTCACAGTTCATGAGAACAAGGCCCAGGTCTGGCTCTGTGCTAACAGCACTCATAGTGCAGAGCCCACTTGGGATTCTCTCCCTCCCTCTCTCTCTCTGCCGCTCCCCTGCTTGCACTCTCTTACCCAGAATAAATTAACTTTTAAAAACATGGAGAGAAGATCTAAAGAGAGATTTTTTCAAAGAATACAGATGGCCAACAGACACATGAAAAAATCCTCAACATCACTAATCATCACTAAAATCCAAATCAAAACCACAAATGAGGTATCACCTCACATCTGTTAGAACAGCTATTATCAAAAAGACAAGAAATAGCAAGCACTGGCAAGGATATGGACAAAAACAAGGATGTTCTGTTAGTGGGAACATAAATTTGTGTAGCCAATATGGAAAACAGTATGGAAGTTCCTCAAAAGATTAAAGATAGAACTGCTATAGGATCCAGCAAGATTTCTGGGTATCTAACCAAAGAAAATGAAAACGCTAATTCAAAAAGATATATGCATCCCCATGTTCACTGCAGCATTATTTACAATAGGCAAGACAAGGAAACAACCTAAATGTCCATCAGTGGATGAATGGATAAAGAAAATGTCACACACACTCACACACACACACACACACACACACAAATATTACTTAGCCATAAAAAAAGAATTAAATCCTGCCATTGGCAACAACATGGATGGACTCTGAGAGCACTGTGCTAAGTGACACAGTGAGAGATAGATACTGTAAGATCTCATTTATACATGGAATCTAAAAACTAAAACAAAACAAGCTCATACGTACAAAGAACAGATCTGTAGTTTCCAGAGGTGACAATGGGTGAAATGGGTGATGGGTCAAAAGGTACAAACTTTCAGTTATAAAACTAGTAAGTCATGGGATGTAAAATACAGCAAGATGACTACAATTGATAACACTGTAGTGCATATTTGAAACTTGCTAGGAGAGTAAATCTTACAAGTTCCCATTACAAAGGAAAAACAATTTTTACAACTATGTATGGTGGGGTCAAAAGGTACAAACTTTCAGTTATAAAACTAGTAAGTCATGGGATGTAAAATACAGCAAGATGACTACAATTGATAACACTGTAGTGCATATTTGAAACTTGCTAGGAGAGTAAATCTTACAAGTTCCCATTACAAAGGAAAAACAATTTTTACAACTATGTATGGTGATGGATGTTAACTAAATTTACTGTGATGATTGTTTTGCAACATATGCAAATACCAAATCATTATTTTTTAAAAAAAATTTTTTAACGTTTATTCAGTTTTGAGAGACAGAGATGGTGAGCCGGGGATGGGCAGAGAAAGAAGGGAGACACAGAATCCTAAGCAGGCTCCAACTCTGAGCCGTCAGCACAGAGACCATGTGGGGATCGAACCCATGAACCCTGAAATCATGACCTGAGCTGAAGTCGGCTGCCCAATCGACTGAGCCACACAGGCACCCTTGAATCATTATGTTGTACATGTAAAACTAGTATGCCAATGATATCTCAACTTTTTTAAAGTAGCTTATTTATACATTCTGAAAAGTAACAAATTTTAAATTTGAACTATTTTCTACTAAATAGATATCATGGACAAATCTGTAAAAATATCTTTGATTAAAATAATCCAATAAAATAAAGTTCAGTTTACTACATTGCATAAAAATTCTTAAGTCAATAACAGATCCCTGGAATTTTGTGAATCAAGGACACTAACTCCTGTGAACGGGTAAGACTCTAACATAACCTTACACACAAAAAAAATCTGCTGTTTAATCCACTTGGAAACAGTATTTAACACAAAGAAATGGTTCAGCAGTTTAGACTGCTTTTCCCTCTACTAGTAATGAAACAACTGAGGTGAAATATCATTCTACAGAGTCACAATTAACATTTGGCTAATTAACTCCAAGTTTGTCCTTCTATGTATTACAGGAGGCCATACATACATACATACATACATACATACATACATACATAATTGGTATCTCGACAATCCGAGGTACCAGAGGCCCCTCAGCAATTGTAACCCGTCAACTAAAGACCATATGGCTAGGCAAGCCTCTCTTCAGACAGTTATCACTCGGTGGCTGATTAATTTCAATGGCTTATTAGACAGGCCTCTCCAGACCCTTTCCCTAGAGGAGGAGGGGAACGGTCTGTTGTCTTCTCAGTGCTTTGTGCCTTCCAGGCTTGAAAGCATCCTGGTGACGGTGCAGCCATCATTTCCCGTGCGGGTAGCAGCGTCTTTTCTGCAAGTTTTTGTTTACCAGGTATTGAACCCAAAATGCCTTTGGTTCTCTCCCTTTCCATCTCCGGCTTTTCCCAGTCGTCCCTACACCCACAGGACCTCGCCCTTTCCCCGCCCGTGCGCAGACCCCGGCCAGGGGCCAAGACTTACCCGTGGGCGCGCTATCCAGGATGCGCAGGTCGTAGGCCCCAGAGCAGCGGTAGTTGGCGGCGGTGCCGTTGTCCCACACCACCACCACCTCCTCGGGGCTCTCGAAGCTCCGGACCGTGCCCACATGGCCCTCGCCGCCGTCCTGCTTCCCCCACTTCCAGTCCGGGCCGCGCACCACCCGGGCCCCGACCCCTTCCACCATCACCCGGTTATTCCGGGAGTTACTCATCGGGGCCCGGGCGGTGGGCTCTGCCGCCGCCGCCGCCGCCGCCGCCGCCGCCGGGGGGCCCGTGAGGGAGTTGGGCCCGGGCCGGACTCTCGGCGCCGGCGGGAGCGGCAGCGAGCCCCGGGGGACGTGAGAATAACTCACGGGGGCGGCGGCGCGGTCCCCTACAAGCCCACAGCCGCTCTCCAGCCGTCGCCGCCGCCGCCGCGCCCCCCGCTCGGACTGGAGGCCGGACCGCAGCGGCTCAGAGGCGGCGGCGGCGGGCGGGCAGAGGGGAGGGGGCCGTGGGCGGGGACTCCCCCGCTTCCTCCGGGCTCCCCGGCCGGGCTACAGCGACGGCCGCCAGGAAACCACGCTCTCCCCCGGCCGGGAGCGCGGGGAGCGCAGGGGGCCGGGGGAGGCTAGCCCGGGGGGTACGGCGAGGGCGGCGGGGAGCAAGCTTAACCGTCGGCCTTTTTTCTCCCCCAGGCCCTCGCTCCGGGGTGGGCGCCCGAATGCCGGCGCCGTCTCCTCCCCCGTGGGCAGCGGTGGTACCTCCCGGCGTCCGGCAAGCGCCCGGGCCCACGGGCCCCCTTCTCTCTGCCCCCGCGCACGCCGCCGCGCTCCGCCCCGCCACAGAGTCCCCGCTGGGCGAGAGCGGCTCCACATCCGGATACTGACGCACTCAAGACTGGAGCAGGACCTACTCTCACTAAGAGCGGGATCCTCAGCCACAGTAGGGCGGAAAGGGTTTTGGAGAGTCGCGCGACTGGGAAAAGAAAGGAGAAGAAAACCGATCCCTAAGCGTCTCTCCAGGGCCCGCTGAGAGTGCGCATGCGCCTGGCCCGGAAAAAAAAAAAAAAAAAAAAAAGGGAGGTACATGGCCAGCCCGAGCCTGAGGAGTTGGAGGGGCGGTAAATGGGGTTGTGGCCTACGGGTGGTGCGGCGCGTCCCATTGGTTGTGAGAAAATGGGAGGAGCAAGAAATCCGTCCCAGTGACCTGGAGGTGTGGCTCGAGGAAATCGAGATTGGGATCGGACCATGCGATGAAACTGGGTAGCTCTGAAGAGATCGGTTTTTCTTTTAAATTCTAGCGTACCTAGGTATAGAGTATGTATTTGCGATTCGTGTTGTTTTAGTCTTTTTTTAACAGGGTCGGAAGTAGGATTATAGCACAGATTAAGGGCGACCTGTATTTTTGTATGTGTAAATTGCAAACATTTCAAACCAGAGTGGGTGATTAGGGATGTATTTTTTTTGTTTGTTGGGGTGGGGGGATGGGGCAGAGGAAGAAAGAGAGAGACTCTTGAGAGGGGTGGCTGGATCCCTGGATCCTGCGATCATGACCCGAGCTGAAATCAAGAATCAGATGCTCTTGGGGCGCCTGGGTGGCTTAGTCGGTTAAGCGGTTTCGCTTAGGTCATGATCTCGCGGTTCGTGGGTTCGAGCCCCGCGTCGGGCTCTGTGCTGACTGCCAGCTCAAAGCCTGGAGCCNTGGGGCGCCTGGGTGGCTTAGTCGGTTGAGCGTCCGACTTTCGCTTGGGTCATGATCTCGCGGTTCGTGGGTTCGAGCCCCGTGTCGGGTTCTGTGCTGACTGCCAGCTCAGAGCCTGGAGCCTGTTTCAGTCTGTGACTCCCTCTCTCTCTGACCCTCCCCTGCTCGCGCTGTCTCTCTCTCTCTCTCTCTCTCCTAGAAATAAATAAAAAATATTAAAAAAAAAAGAATCAGATGCTCTTTGCAATTACATGGATGGAACTAGAGGGTATCATGCTAAGCGAAATTAGTCAGTTAGAGAAACACAAATATCATATGACTTCACTCATATGAGCTCTTTAAGATACAAAACAGATGAACATAAGGGAAGGGAAGCGAAAATAATATAAAAACAGGGAGGGGGACAAAAACATAAGAGACTCTTGAATGTGGAGAACAGAAGGTTACTGGAAGGGTTGTGGGATGGGGGATGGGCTAAATGGGTAAGGGGCATTAAGGAATCTACTCTTGAAATCATTGTTTCATTATATGCTAACTACCTTGGATGTAAATTTTTAAAAAATAATTTTAAAAAAGAAATTTAAAAAATGAGTCAGATGCTCAACAGGCTGACCCACCCCAGCAACCCTAGGGATGTGTTTTTAAGGTGAGTAGAATGGTACTGAATGTGAGCAATGTACAAAGTCCTTTGGAAAGTGTCTCTTGCCTTCAGGTGGAGTCAGGGTGCTAAACAGACTCCAAACAGTACACGCTCCTGGGCGAGTTTACATGCACCTTGCCCATTGATAACTCTGTCCACCCTAGACATCATTCAGCCCCTAAATGCAAAAGACAGCCTTGAAAGGGAAATAAGAGGACTGTAAGAGTGGTTTCTGGCTGCTATTATTTAAATGACATTATGGTGTGTAAGATTTAAAACCTTTGTTTTTTCAGCCCAGCACAGAGGCATTGTTAGCGTAAACTGTTGTTTTTCCTGAGAGTCATGGAAGCAGCAGTACTCCAGGAGAATCAAATAATCAAATGGAAAGACAATGATCAAGTGGGCAGAAAGGGAGTGTAAAATGTGACCAATTAATTGTTGTGTAGTAAAATAAATAAAATCTTAATTTTTCATGTAAAAAAAAAAACTGAGGAAAATACAAATATGGAGTCCCAAAGAAAAATAGAGCTAATTTGAGAGTCTAAATAAAAGTTAAAATATTTGTTCAGAATAGGCCAGCCAAATTTCTATTCCATTTCAAAATACTTTGACCCCAGAAATTTTATACTTTTAATGTTTATTTATTTTTAAGGGAGGAGGAGGGGCAGAGAGAGAGGGAGACGCAGAATCCAAAGCAGGCTCCAGGTTCTGAGCTATCAGCACAGAGCCTGATGCGGGGCTCAATTTCAAGGACCGCAGAGCCACCCAGACGCCCAACCCCAGAAATTTTAAATATGCTATTGCCAGAGCTACTCAACTGCAGCTATTCAATTAACGGCACTATTAATTATTCCTATCTGCCAACTCTTCTCTCTCTGGGATCTTTTCTGGTTTCCTTTTTTTCATGATGACCAGTTAGAGTAACCATTTGAATTAATAAATTGATAAAACAATTTTGGAAAAAATATAGCTACTATATAAGTTATACTTATGGCTGACTTCATAAAGTAAGTTGATTAAAGTAAAGGCTAATTTGTAATAGTGCAACCTTACATTTTACATCAAGCACAGTATATTAATAATGGCTTTCCACATATTTAAATTGTATTTACCTCACCCTGGAGTTTTATACTTACTGAGACATAATAATCTAATATTTAGAAAGGCTTTTGTTCTTGATACCAAAGATTAGTTATAATAACTTAGAATTTTATTTGCTCTTAAAATGAAAAAGATCTTAAGAAACGATCTAGCCTAGTGGTTTTCTTTTCTCCCTAACCATTCCACAGATCCTTGGTTCATATCCTGTGCATTTGATCTATAAAGGGAGCTAGGTAGTGATATAATAATAGCAAGGCTAAGAGCTCACCTGTAGTTTTCCCTTCCTCTGACCATTGCAGGGGCTCTACAGGAATTCATCAAAATCTCTGCAGTATAAGTGAGCATAAGTATGAAATCTCAAATTAGCCCAATCCCCATAGTTGATAAGAAGAAAATGAGGCCACTGGAGCACCTGGGTGGCTCAGCCGACCTTAGCTCTGGTCATGATCTCACCAACTCATGGCTCTCCACTGTTAGTGTGGAGCCTGCTTCGGTTCTAGCTTCCCTCTCTCTGCCCCTCCGCAGCTGGTGCTTTCTCTCTGTCTCAAAAATAAATAAAAATATCAAAAAAACTTTTTTAATTAAAAATAATTAAAAAAAAAAAAAAAACAAGAAAAGGAAGCCAGGACTGATTATGTAGTAACTTGTCCAGGATTACAGAGGAAGTTAAGACATACAGCTAAAACTCTAATCTGTCTAATATTGAATGAATTTTTTTTTGAAGTTTATTTTTTTATTTTTGAGAGAGACAGAGCATGAGCATGAGCAGGGGAGCAGCCGAGAGAGAGGGAGACACAGAATCCAAAACGGCTCCAGGCTCTGAGCTGCCAGCACAGAGCCCAACATGGGGCACTATCTCATTAAACGTGAGATCGTGACCTGAGCTGAAGTCGGACACCCAACCAAGTGAGCCACCCAGGTGCCCCGAATGTATTTCTTTTTTTAATGTGGGAAATTGGTTTTTTTTTTCAGTTTTTTAATATTTATTTATTTTGAGAGAGAGAGAGAGAGAGAGAGGCAAAGAGAGAGGGAGAGAGAGAATCCCAACCAGGATGCAGGGCTCAATTCATGAACCATGAGATCACGACCTGAGCCGAAATCAAGAGTCGGTCTCTTAACTGTCTGAGCCACCCAGGCACCCCTGTGGTATTTCTTTATATTAAACACTCTCTTATCCATCCATCCCCTTACTAAATACATTGTGACTTTATAACACTATCATGTTGCTAATGTTCAAGGTGACTCAATACAGTTTGCCAATAGTCTCTAAATGGTTTGATTATACATCCTTTTGGTTCAAAATTTTTGAACATGTACTTCCAATATATGTACTTATTTGTGTATAAATTATCTATGTACTACCATGTTATATGTGTAATAAAGTATACTCAACATTCGAAATTACGGACATACCTCAGGGATATTGCCAGTTTGGTTCCAGACCACCAAATTAAGCAAGTGTTGCAGTAAAGTGATACAAATGAATTTTCAGTTTCCCCATGCATATAAAAGTTATGTTTACACTATACTGTAGGCTTTTAGTGTGTAATAGCATTGTGTCTAAAAAAATGTACATACCTTAATTTTAAAACTACTTTATTGCTAAAAAATAAAAATGCTAACCATCGTCTGAGCTCTCAGGGAGTTGTAATCTTTTTGCGGGTGGAGAGTCTTGCCTCCTTATTGAAATCTGCTAACTGATCAGGGTGGTGGTTGCTGAAGGTTCAGGTGACTGTTGCAATTTTTTTTTTATTTTTTTAAGTTTATTTATTTATGAGAAGTAGAGACAGCATGAGTGGGGGAGGGGCAGAGAGAGAGACACAGAATCCAAAGCAGGCTCCAGGTGCCAGGGTGTCAGCACAGAGCCCGATGCTGGGTGCAGGGCTTGAAACCGTGAACCATGAAATCATCACATTAGCCAAAGTCAGATGCTTAACTGACTGAGTCACTCCGGTGCCCGTGGCACTTTCTTAAAATAAGACAACAATGAATTTTATGTATCTATTGACTCTTCTCTTTCACAATTCTCTGTAGCATGCAATACTGTTTGATAACATTTTACCCACAGTAGAAGTTCTTTCAAAATTAGTCCTCTCAAACTCTGCTGCTGCTTTGTCAATTCAAGTTTATGTGATATTCTAAATCCTTTTTTGTCATTACAACAAACTTCATAGCATCTTCACCAGAAATATATAGAAAATTCTAGTCCTCTTGCTGTTTCTACCACATTTGCAGTGACTTCCTCCACTGAAGTCTGGAACCCCTCAAAGTCAACGATGAGGGTTGGAATCAGCTTATTCCAGACTCCTGTCAATGTTGATATTTGGGCCTTTTCCCATGAATTACAAATGCTCTTAATGGCTTTTAGAATAGTAAATGTTTTCCAGAAGGTTTTCAACATACTTTGCCCAAATCTATAAGGGGGTATCACTATCTATGACAGATATAGCTTTATGAAATGTATTTTTAATCATAAAACTTGAAAGTCTAAATTATTCCTCGATGCATGAGCAACAGGATCAATGTTATGTTAGCAGGCATGAACACAACATTAATCTCTCATCAGAGCT